CACAACCTATGAAGTAGTGAGGTAGATACTAATATTGTATCCATTTTACAGATGAAGAAACTGAGTACTTGCTCAAAGTCACAGAGATAGGAAGTGACAGAACTGAGATTTAACCCAGGAAGACAAGCTCTAGAGTCTGTGCTTATAAGCAGCAGTACACTACATTGCTTTGTGTATATGTGTGACTATATATATACTTAACTGCTATAGTTCCTGAGGTCTTTAACTCTGCTCAAGAAGTAATTTACTTAACTTAAAGATGAAAACAATGTGAATCTACTACCCAAACCATTCTTTCCCCTGTAGGAGAAAGGGAATTTTGTAAATGGATGGAGACCAAGAGAGTTGCTTTGAGCCAAAATGTGCCTTGCTGAGGCAGGATTTAAAAATGGCGTGAACAGTGATTGCATTAGCCGATGGCTTAGAGTGCTGACTGCCAGAAGAGGAGATAAAATCAGACATATGTTTAGATATAAATGTTCTGTCTCTTTCTCTGTCTCTCTCACTTCCCCCTTACCTCCTTTCTCTTCTCTGATTTTAAGCCTTTGCTGCTTTGTTGCAGTGGAATGGTGCAGCTTTAATTGTGGGCTTCTGTCCCCTGAGGTAGCAGCCTGGAGTGAATAAGGCCTGCTTAGCCTCCTCCCAGTTGCTAGTCATCACCACTGAAGGAAGCCAGAGGCCATGGACTCTGGCCCTCTTCCCTGCCAACAATAGGAATTGTCTTGCAGAGACTGTGCACAGTGTTACACCCAAAACCCAGCAAGTTGTGCTGGCCTCAATACATGTTAAATAGCCACGATTAAGCTAATGTCTCTAGCCCTTAGAAACTAGCCTGACTACCTTCACTGATAATAGGATGCAGCCTTACACTGAAGGATGATAAGGAGCCCTAAAGCAGATTATGGAAGTGGTAATCACAGCATGGCATTTAAAGAGCAAAGGTTGGGTAGATGCAGTAGAAGGGAGGAATTGAAGCTTCCCCAATATCCCCATTGTTGAGCCAAATAACCAAAACCATTCCTCTATGGGGAATTTCTCTGGTAGAGACTTCAAAACTTCTATCAATTCTCTGCTATGCAATGATTTCCAACCCAAGGTTGGAAGGAGGCCAACCCATCTTTCTCACTATAAACACACTATCTTACCTACTTCAACCTTTCTCCTGTAGCTGTCACCCTCTGTGGGACTCTGCAGTTTCTGTCTGCTGTTGGGCCTAAGAATCAGGCAGCTGTCATCTGCAGTCCTGAGAATCCAGCCCCTTAGTGAGCACATGTAGAACTCCTGTGGCCAGAATTTTAGTCAAGCCTCGGAGATTAGTAGAGATGGTTGTGATAAACAAAACAGTTCTTAGTGGAAGAAAAAGAACACAGAAGTATCTGTAGGAGGTTCCACTTTAACAGCACATGGCATGGAAAGAAACACATTCTTGATAGCCAGTGAGAGCCTAAGTAAGAAAACACCTTTGACTTGGGAGTCAAGAGTCCTAGGTTTTAATCCCACCTCTTCCACTAATTAGCAGTGTGACCTTGGCTATGTCTTTCATTTTCTCTGGGGCTCAATTTCCTTGCCATAAAATGAAAAAAAGTTAAGCTAAATGACTTTTCACGGCCTCAGAAAAATTCTATAATGAAAATTCCATAACTCCTTATACCTAACTGCAAAGTCTAACATGTTGCTGTAACTACCCCCCCCCTCCCGCCGTGAAGAGCTACCAACCCACATTCCATTCCCAGGTAACCAGCCTTAAGCTTTGCTAGGCCCAAGAGTGAGTCACTAAACACAACCTTAAAGATACACTTTCAGTGTTCATGGAGTTCCTCTAAAGAGCTGTCCCCAAATGCCTGCTTAGAGGAGGGTATACCCAGCATTATGGCAAAGGAAGACTCCTGCTCCAAACACTGAACTGGTGCCAGACCAAAGGGTGGGCCCACTGGGGAAAGGAACTGCCCTTGCAGCACCAAGGTTACTTGTACCTAGTAACCATCTTCTCAGTCTCCTCCGGTTCCCTGAAGTTCTTTTTAGAAAGCACTCCTCCCTCTGATTCCAAGATAAATATGCTCATTCCTAGGACAAATGCTTTCTTAGGACTCTTCCCATGACTGTTTTAAGCCCTCTCCCTTCAAATCTTTGTTTAGCCACAGACCCTTTGCCATAGCAGAGTTTCTACATAATTCCCTGACAACCCAGATAGCTGCCAAAAAAAATAAGGGGTGTTAGGAAATCAGCTCCCCTTCCTCCAGTGCTGAAGTAGCAACTTCTTCCTCATTTGCCTTGGAATGCATACTCAGGAAGCTGTTCTGAACGGCCTGAGGTGTGTCATGTGGCACTGGGAAAGGGAGTCTTTGCTCGCTTCTTCATCTGGTCCTAGCCAAGCCCCACCCTTTGTTCTGCTGCATCTTTGTCATTATTGGGGTAGAGTGGTAAAGGAAGGGCCAAAGGAATGAACTTTTGGTGCCTACAAGTGTGTGCCCATGTATATGTGCTGCTACAAGTACTGATACCCAGAAGATTCAGAATTGGCCCTTTCTTAGCCATTTCTTAGCCAACTGCTGCAAAGTGCTCCCTGCCTCTTTCCCTCCTCAGTGCCAGAGAGGTCACACCCACTCAGTCCTAATTTCCTGCATTAGTATAAATACTAGCGTTGAAGAAACACGGGTCCCCGTTCATGGAACCTCCTTGGAAGTCATTACCCCATGAGCCTCGAGACAGACCACACCTCCACCAAGACATATTTGACATATTTTGCAGCCAAAGAATAGAAGCAACACTGCCTGTGGGAAATTGCAGCCAAACTACATTACTGCAGCCCTCTTAAATTCATGTACCCCTGGGTCCTTGGATTGAGTTGGTACTGCCTGACCAGCAGCTTCTGCTGAGGTAGCATTTCACTTTTGGCCAGGTCCCAGGAGCTGAGGCTGACCCATTTCCCCTGGTTTTCCAGGGCATAGGGAATTTGGTTGTACCCCCAACAAAGCAGGGACTAACACACTTAGCTCACAGAATGTGCACTAGAGTCGGGGTACATTTATTTAAACTAAAGAAAGGTTGTTGACAGCTTTAGCATTTTCCCACACTTAAAAAAATTTAACATTTGTCTCCCCTCCTCCCCCATTGTACCTCTTCCCTCCCCCACCCCTTTTTTTCAAATAGAAATGACTTGGTTAATGCTCATAAGAATCTATAGGTTTAGGCTCTTATTCAATTTAACCCTTTGGGGACATTGAATTAAAAATTGAACAATATTTATTAAAATACAAAAATACACTTTTCTCACATTACAATCGTTTTTTTGTTGGCATTTCCCCCCACCCATAACCACCCCCTTTCAAATCAGAACCCTTTATCTCCTCTTAAAGCTAAAATAATAACTGAAAGAAGTTACATCATTAAATGGACCAGAGTAACAGAGCTCTTGGCCTTCTCCTTCCCCTCTCTTACACTTCCTCTGGAGGTAGGCCCCGGGGAGGGAAGCTTCCCCACAGTGCCCATTCAACAGGGCTCCATGCAGAACCCCTCGTGTGCATGTTTGTCACTTCTTTTAACTGGACTTCACAGCTTTTTTTGTGAAGCATCCTGGTTGGCAAAGGCTTCTTTACTTTAATTGAGCCTGTGCCCTTTTTGTCTCTCCTTTTCTTCTTTACTTATGTCCTGCCCCCACTTCATCACCACAACCAGTTGGCATCAGCTGTAATATTCCCTAATGAATCAGCATTTAGAATAGCCACCAAATCCCAAGCATGAGAAAAGCTTCCACTCCCCCAAGCTCCACACTCCCGGCCTCTCCTCCCTCTCCACCTAAAAACAAACAAGACCGTTTTGAAAAATCATAAAATGCCATCATTGTCTACAATCATTTGTCAGATACCCGGAACAACAGGTGGACGTAGCACAATGCTAATTTATGGCCTCCTATGAATCATTCTCTCTGCTGCTGTTCTCCTTTCCTCCCTCCCTAGTGCCGTACCCCCTTTGGGCCGCCTCCTTCTCCTGGAAAACCCTGGATAGACACATGCCTTGCAGAGTGGGTTAAGCCCAACTGCAGGAATCTGCTGCAATGTGAAAGCATTTGACCGAGAGCTACACCAGCTCCCTTCCTTCTCAGTTCTATTCTGAAGCACTGTCAGGCGAGGCACATGTGTGTCCCAGAGGACTTGTGCACATGGACAAAGACTCAGCCCCTGTAAGGATTCATTTGAATTTTGGTGGTTTTCCTGCTTAAAATACATTTACAGATCTATCTATCCCTTGGCCTCTGAAGAAAAAAAAAATTATTGCCAGTATTTTGGCACAGTACAAATTCATGGTGGGTTTTTTTGTTTTTTGGGTTTTTTTAGTAAGATAATCTGCAAAGACAGCTCCTGACTTAAGAAAGATGTCTGTAGAAATGGTTATTCCTGTATTCTATGAAGCATTTTCTAAAAAATGACAGATGCAGTCTATCCTTCCTATCCCTCAGCGGCCCACATCCTGCCTCTTTAGGGGTGTTTGTTGTTGTTTTAGTTTGTTTTATCTTAGCAGTTTCCACCTTATACCAGAAATCTCTACTGGTAGCATAGCAAGTTGACTTGCAGCTTTTACCCACAACATTCCCAATATTTCCCTCCCTCCCCCTTTAAATAGAACTTACAAGTTAGAAAATAGTTTTGTTTTGATTTTTTGTTTTTAAATTTTAATATAATCTGTTTTTTAACCAGCCCATAGATTTAATATATAAGCATATACAAGAAAAAGTCTCTCCCCACTCTGTACAAAAGTTGCTGTCTCTTTTTTGTGCATTCTATTGCATTTATAAGTTTTTTGGGGGAGAGGGAGTCATATTTGAGTTTCCTGTACCTTGTCCTTGGTATGGGTCTGAATTATATAAGGTTCAGAGATAGTGGTGACTGTGGGGTGCAAAGAGTTCCCCAGGCTGTTTTCTGTCCAGTGGGCCCCATGTGCTGGTTTGTAGGTGTTGTAGTTAATGTGGTCGTGTATTGTGGGCAGCACTACTGCCCCCTCACCTGATACACCGGATGGAGCTGCTGTTGCTGCTGCAGAAGCTGCCGCAGGGATGTCCTCATCCACCTGGATAATCTCAACTGTCCGGGCGGCTGTGACTGTACTCCGCTGCTGGTGCCGCTTTCGAAGTTTATAGAAGACAATCAACATGGCGGCAGCTAGCAGAGTCACTGCCACGAAGCAGCCGATGATTATCTTGGTGGTCTTCATGACTTCATCCAGGCTGGTCTGCATCTTGTCAGTGGTGTCTGTTGCAGGTACTGCCACCTGCTTGGGCACACGGGTGGTCTGAATGAGCACCGTGGTAGAGGTGGTATATGCCGGCTGGTAACCAGTGGACGTGGTAGGAACAGGCTTGTACTTTCGCGTTGTGTCCTCAGGTGAAATCTCCGTGGTCTCCACTGTTACTGTGGTGAAAAAGCTGTAGTTGGAGGTGTTGAGCTCGGCCCTGCTCACATTGAGGTAGGCCGAGGCATTAGAGTTGCCTGCCACATTGGTCACCATACATGTGTATATTCCAGTGTCTGAGAGCAGCACATGGGAAAAGTTCAAGGTGCCATCATTGAGGACGGAGATCCGTGGGTGGCGGGAGGCGTGGCTGAGCACTGTCCCATTGGGCAGCAACCACTTCACAGAGGACATAGGTGGAGTCCTACACTTAAGTTCTGCCATCCGACCCTCAGAGATATTGAGATCCCGAGGTGCATCCATGATGAAGGGGGCAGAGCACTGGAAGGAAGCCTGGTCCACCTCCACCAAGTAGCGGCCTCGCATGTGCATGGGAGCATGACAGCGCCCACAGCAAGTAGAATTAGTGGGTATATACTCCCGAAGCCACCAGGCAAGCCACAGAATGTCACAATCACAGTTCCAAGGATTGTGGTGTAGGTGCAACTCCACCAGGTACCTCAGTGGGGTAAAGAGGTCATGGGGCAAAGATGAGAGGTTATTGTGGGCCAGGTTGAGTTCCACAAGGGAGGCCAGCCCATCAAAAGCATTCCGCTCAATCAAGCTGACCTGTGAGTTCATGACCCACAGCTTCTTGAGGGAGCTTAGGCCATGGAAGGAACCAGGCCTGATCTCAGGGAAGTGGTTCCCTGACATCTCCAGCTCCTCCAGTCCCACCAGGGGGGTGAGATTGGGCATATCTTTAATGTTGCACATGCCCAAGTTCAGGTACTTGAGGTTGAACAGACCCTCAAAAGCCCCCTCCGAGATATACTCCAGCTTCTTGAGCTCCCCCAAGTCCAGGCGCATGAGGGAGGGCACTCGGTTGAAGGCATAAGAGGGGATGCTCTCTATAGGGTTGTTGCGAAGCCAGAGCTCCCGCAGCTTGGACAGGTACTCAAAGGCCCCACTGGGGATGACGGTCAGCCAGTTGTCAAACAGTTCCAGGGTGTTGAGGCTGGCCAGTCCGTTGAAGGCCCCCACCTCGATCTGCCTGATGGAGTTCCTGCCCAGCTGCAGGACCTCCAGGTGATGCAGGTGTCTGAAGGTGTCAGCCTGGATCATCTGGATGTTGTTTTCCATGAGGTTGAGGTACCGGGTGTTGGAGGGAATGCCCTGCGGGACCTCAGAAAGGCCCCGGCGAGTGCACACCACCTTGCTGAACTGGTTACTGCATGAACAGACGGAGGGGCAGTTCTGGGGCCCAGCGGAGGCGGCAGCAGCTATGGCTGCACACAGAATCCACACTTGCGCGGTGAGGTAGACAACGGGGAGCAGGACGGCATTCCAGGTGTGGTGCACAGTTACCTGCCACAAGAGCTTCATGGTGTGGCACGTTCATAATTCACCATCGCCTGGGATTTTGGCTCGGAAAGGAGAACCAGCCCTACCCCGGCTTAAGTGAGCTAAGAGCTCCTCTTTCCATCTGGAGAAGGAGGTGGGGAGGGGGCGATTAGAGAGACTGAGCAGATCGGTCGAGAAAAATCCTACCAAACTACAGAACAGAGCGACCCCTCATCCACCAGCCCACCCTCATGGCCAGCCCTCCGAAAACCGAGACTTTCCCACATTACTACCATCCCCACCCAATTCACTGTCACCTACCTCTGAAGGAAGGCAGGAAAAGAACTGGCGTGGTGTCCTTAAGCTTTCTCCACGGGAGCTGGGCACCTCGTTCCCATTCTGACTTCTTAGTTTTAATTAACAAGGGGGAAGTCGTGGGGGCGGGGAGGGCAGAGGGGAGGGGAGGGGAAGGGAGGGGTGGGGGAGACAAAATGGCTTCTAGTAAATCCAGAGCCGGCGAAGCCGCGGAGTTGAGGCGCGCCAGGAAGAACCAAGGCCCGGCGGGCTATGCAGGTGCATGCCCCCCCCTTAGCCCGAGGAGCGGCGCCACCAGCGCTTCCCTGCTTTGTCCTTGGACCCTGGCACTGGAGCGCTCCAACCGCGGGGGAAGGCACTTCATCGCCAAAGTGTGCCTCCGGCGCCCCCAGCCCGCTCCCAGGGCCGCCGCTGGGAGGGTGCGGGGGCGCCCCGAAGCTCGCTCTCTCGCTCGCTGCTGCTGCGCTCTGCTCTCGCGGCGTTGGCCGCTCCGGGCCGGCGGCAGCTGATTGCAGTCGTGAGCTCGCGGGGCTGCGAGAGTTAAGAGGAGGTATTCGCAGCGCCTTCGCCCTCCCCAGACACACACCCCCTTTCTCCTGCCTCTTCTCCGAAGGGTTAAAAAGACAAAAACTAGACTGACTTCTCCACTCCGCCGTCTGCTGGCGCGAGGAACATTAATCCGTACAGCTGAGGGGCAGCAGCGTGGACGCTGACGCTGCGCGGGGACCGGTCCGCGGGCCGCGGAGAGCACGGCGCCCGCGGTCTCGCCCGCACCGCAGGCCCCTTCAGGGAGTCCGGGGGCGGGCGCGGGTCCG